TAGCTTCCTCCTGGTGTCCTGCACGCTTCTATGCTCCCTTCGGGTGGCAAATGTTGAAGGCATTCCTGCTAGTATTACTAGTTTGATAGTGATTTCCTGATTTTACCTAGTGCTTTCTGTCACTCTAGCAGGCAGCCACGATGGAAGGAGGTGCAGAGATCATTCAGTGTTATGGACTAAACTGTGTGGTCCCCTCATTCACATGCTCAACCCCCAATGTGACTGTATTTGGAGATAGGGTCTTAGCGAGGCAATTAAGGTAAAATGAAGTTATAAAGCGGCTCAACTCTGATAAGACTGGTGTTCTTCTAAGAGACACCAAGACATGCAAAGCTTTCTCTCTCTGCCTGCACACACTGCGGATGGGCCATGTGAGGACGCGGCAAGAAGGCAGCTGTCTGCAAGCCAGGAAGGAAGCTCTTACTAGAAATGGAATTTGTTGGCACTGTGATTTTGGACTTCCAACCTCCAGAACAGGGAGAATATAAATGTCTGTTATTTAAGTCACCCCGTCTGTGATATTTTGCTATGGCAGCTCCGCTGGCTACGATGTGACTGTTGTCGTCCAAGCAGTGTACACAGTGCACAGTATGTACGACTATCGCCCCTAAGATCTCTCATGTACACAATTTCAGCATGATGTTCATAACGCCCCGAAGGGCAACACTGTGATGTAGGAGAATAAGTTAGATAAAACCCATCGCTTCTTAGCTGCAGGGTCTTGAGCAAAGTCCTCAATTCCTCCAAGCCTCAGTTTCCTCCTGTTATAAATGTTTGTTAAGCTGGTTAAATCTAGCCTCTGCACCAAATTTAATAAGATTCTGTACTGTTAAGCATTTTTCATCCACCATGAAGAAACCCACTGCATGAGTGTTTGCATGTGTATGATGATTTCTAAGTGTTCAAAGGAATATTGTGTTGGTTTCTTTAATTAAAGAGTAAAATTATATTTTAAAATGTCTGTTATCATTGTGGTGAGAATTTTTCTGCCTTCATGCCTGCAAATTTCACTGTCTTAACCTTCTGGTGGATTGATCAGTGAGTCACTCACTGGTGACACCTCTAAGCCTGTCACTAGGCATGAGGCTAAAGCTGACCTCTAGATAGTGTAGGCTTCCTGGAAATCTCTTTGGATCATCCTAAGTCTGCTTTTGTCAATAGTTCCAGAAAAATAGACACAGAGTTAATGGATCATATTCATTAATATCAAGAATAGAATTTACAAAAATAACAGTCAATAAGAATTCATGAGGCATCAATCTGTTAACAGTAATAATAATGATAATCATAATAACTCAGATAGATGGAGACTAACTTTGGGAAGCCACTGACTAAATGTATGATCTCAGTAACCCTTTAGGTTAGATACCATTATCCTCACTATACAGGGAGGAAACTGAGGGACAGAAAGGCTAAATAACTTACACAAGGGCCAATGTAGGAAGTGGCAGAGTAGGTTTGAAATGCTCCGTGGGACATGACTGCTGTGCTATGCTGTCTCCACTGCAGGATCTCTAATGCCTGTCAACTGCGCCATGGGCTTTAGTTCAAGTGAATCTCCCTCCTACCTTCTGTGGTAAGTAACACCACCAAAGAGATCTGAGGCTGGAGAGGTTCCCACGTACTTCTAAATGATATACAGTAGTTATTTCCATTCACAGAAATCCTCCTGCAAGGATTTCTGAAATCATTCTATTGTATAAAATCTGTATGTTCCTGATTTAAAAATATACAAAACATCCTTCCAAGTCATTTGAATTAACACTAGTATTAAGGAAGCTAAGTCTGCATAACCAGCCCCCTGGAAAGACAGAATGCCATCTCCTCAAGTCTAAGTGCTGTGTAATCATTAATCTACAAACCAAATGGAGATCTTACCTGTTCCGCAAACAGCAAATCAAACAAAATTCCTAGGTGCTGGCCCGGCGCGGTGGCTCAAGCCTGTAATCCCAGCACTTTGGGAGGCCGAGACGGGCAGATCACGAGGTCAGGAGATCGAGATCATCCTGGCTAACCCAGTGAAACCCCGTCTCTACTAAGAAATACAAAAAAAAAAAAAAAAAAAAAAAAAAAACTAGCCGGGCAAGGTGGCGGGCGCCTGTAATCCCAGCTACTTGGGAGGCTGAGGCAGGAGAATGGCATAAACCCGGGGCAGAGCTTGCCGTGAGCTGAGATCCGGCCACTGCACTCCAGCCTGGGCGACAGAGCGAGACTCCGTCTCAAAAAATCCAAAAACAAAAAAATTCCTAGGTGCTGCCAAGGGAACAAATCATACAGAGAAACTGCTCTCTGCTTCTCTCTTGAAAGCCCTGGCTGTTTCCAGGGGCCCTAAAACTCATTATCCCCCTGCGGGTGAACAGCAGACTCCCGTAGCTGTATATTTCTAGAAAGTGGCAGCAATACATCTAAATGTTTTCAGTTTGCTCATGACAAGGAAGGGAAGGATGGGGATTCAAGGGGTGGGTAGGTAAAGAGTGTTATGGACCAAGAGGGTCAGCAGAGAGGGGACAGTAGAAAATGTAAGAAGAGAGAAAATTGAAACAGGTCCAGGAGCAAGTGAAAGATTTGCTCCAGTGGAATTAACAGGAATATACGTGGGGATGGGGGCAGCATTTAAATTTTAGAGACAAAAATGAAGATGAGTAGAAATGCAATTTTTTAGATAGAAAGATATTTGTGTCCACCGGCCTCTATTTTCTCAGAAAAGGTGTGAGAGGGTTGAGGTTTGGATGAAGAAGGCTTGAGGAGGATGGAAAATGTTTAGAATCAAAGGTCAGTTAGAAAGGGCTAAAAGGATTTCCAAGTAGAAGTGACTGTGGCATTAAGCTAACATGGCATAGTTTATAGTGGACTGCTTCCAGAGCAGAGGACATGGGGTGTAGTCCATTGCCACGGAGTTGGGTCAAGCCCTTAGAAAATTGTCTTCTGACCTGACTTTCAAATGGAAACCTACCCTTCTGTGATTTATCCAGGCTTCTGTGATCTACCTACCCTCTGCTTGCAAGACAATCCAAGGTCCTCAGCATGACACACAGGCCTTTCCCTAACTGGCCCCCATTTGTGTCTCCAGCATCAGTTTTTGCCTTCTGCCATATTGAACTTAACTGTCATTCCTCCGGAGCCTCAGGCCCTTTCAGTGCTGCTGGGCCTTGACCAAAGGATTCCCCTGAAATATTTTTCCCTTTAATGTCTGGGAAATAATATGTACTTTTTTTTTAAAGGCTGCCTCTTCTGAGAAGCCTTCCAGGGTCACCTTAGGTAAAACTGATTATCAGTCTCTCTTTTTGCCAGCCTTATCTATGCCCTATATGTGTTACTGACATCACAAGTTCATATTTCATCCATTTTAAAATGCGCTTTTATTCACATTTTTTAAAAATCCCTGAAATAAGCCAGATGTGATGGCACATATTTGTAGTTGCAGCTACTCAGGAGGCTGAGGCGGGAAGATCACTTGAGCCCAGGGCTTGAGGCTGTAGTGTTATGATTGCACCTGTGAATGGCTACCGCACTGCAGCCTTGGCAACACAGGTAGACCTTGTCTCAAAAAAACAAACAAACAAACAAAAAAGCCCTTAAATTAGCATGTAACTTATAATCAATGGTGTATCATAGTTTAATGACAGGATTTAAAAAAATTTTGGTGATACCAAAAAAAAGAAAAAGTACCTCTTACATTGGAGAGCATTTGGTGAAATGCAGCTTCATTTTCTAACTTTCTAAAGTGAGTGTAGGAGTGCTTCTCATCTTGCCTCCCACCCCACCACCCCCACCACCTTTGGCAGTGTCTGGAGACATTTTTGGCTGTATCAACTTGCGGCGAGGAATATGCTGCTGGCATCTAACAGGCAGAGGCGAGAATGATGCTAAACATCATACACAGGACAACCCCCGATAACAAAGAATTAGCCAGGTCAAAATGTGACTGGTACAGAGATTGAGAAACCCCGATGTAGAGAAACAATACCTATTTGGGTATATAATAGGCTTTATTATGTTTGATTTTAAATAAACCTTTTACAGTGTATAGTGCAACTTAATGTATAGCAACTTTTTCCAAACCTTGGCTTGTGCAGAATAGCAACTCTTGAGACATATTCTAAGCTCTCCTCGTCACCCCTCCCTGACTCCCTTCTGCTAGATGCACCAGGGGAATCAATACAGCAATGCTCCTGGTCAAAATCTGAAAGCCAGAATGTCTCAGAGAGATCTGTGACCTTAAACCAATTAGGTTAGTTAATGGCAAGTCCAGGACTGAAACGCAGACCCCCAGATTTCCGCAGTCTCACTCAGCCTGGGAGACAGCTGCTCCGTTCCCGAGCTAAATTGGCTAACACAGTTTGGTACCTTAAGAGGGAATGTGCCCTACCTATATGAGCTGAGTGACTTAGCAAGAGTTTAGCATTAGTATTCACGCTTTAACACCCGGGACCCACCCGGCTCTCACCCCCCTTTATGATAATTTAGGTTGACTCTGTAAGACCCCTTAGCTCTGTGGGGAATTGGATTTATGCAAAAAATAATAGTGATTCATGAATGTGAAGGAACTTTAAATAAATGTGGATGATTTCATCATACAAAAGGCAGAAGGGACTTAGTAAGTGTATTTAAGGCTCTGGAGGAAGCGTTATTAATTTGGAAAGTGGGTGGGGGGAGCTGTCCTCTATCCCTACAAGCTGCACGTGTGGAAAGGGCCTTTCCAGCGCAGGAAGCTGATTTCTGTGAGAGAGGAAGTTGTTCTAGGGGGAGGTTTTGGCAATGCAGTCCTCACATCTCGGTTGTGCGAGTCAGGCGGGCCTCAGGTGGGTCTGGGGATCCCTGCCCCTCCTGCTGAGTCCCCAGAGTGTCCCCCGCCCCCTTCCTTCTCCCACCGGGGCTGAATCACAGTGGGCAGCAGTGTTTGGGATCCTGCGATCAACCCACCGCCCTCCAGCAGCCCCACCCTTGGAGGACCGGGGGTTGCCCTGCACGTCAGAGGGGATGGCGGGGGCCAGACTCACCTTCAGGTGGATGGGAAAGGACCGCTCCTGCTGGAGGGGCCCCAGCAGCGTCTGCTCCACGTTGACCAGCTCCGAAGTCGAGTCCACCACGCGGGCTAGCGCGCTGCGCATCGCCATCCGGGCCAGGGTGCAGGGCCCGCGGTCCCGGGGAAAGGGCAGCAATTCGGCGCCCCCCTCAGCGCCCCGCACTACCTCCTCCTCTGGGGAGCTCGTCCGCTCCGCGGTCCCCCGATTCCTGGTCCCCACACCCCCGCCCCGCTCCTCGCGCCAGGGCCCTGGCCGGGCCCGCGGCGGGCCTGAGCGACGGGCTGGAGCGGTGGACACGTGGTCCGGGTCCCGCGGGTTCCCGGGGGCGCCTGGACTGTCCCCCCAGCCCCACTCCTGCTGCAGCAGCTGCAAGGTCTGCAGAGCCACCATTTGGTGGCTGATGGAGGCCACTAAGGGCGCGGGGCTGGCCATCGCCTCCGCCGGCGGCTCGGCGCGCTCCTCGTGCAGGTGGAGCAGCAGGGAGGGAGGCGGGGGCGTTGGGGTCGCCAGGGTCACATTTTCTAACCCGCGGCTCCTCGGCCTCAGGGTCTCACAGCGTGTGTGGTCGGCCCCGCCCCCGGCTCTGAATCGGTGACCCGTGCTGGCCTCTGCCTTCGCCCGAAGTCCGAATCAGGCGCGTTCTGACCCAAACTGCCTGACGCGCTGCTCAGTGTGCACTTGAAAATCAGCGAAATGCTGAGCGCTCGTTCTTCCCTCTCTCCAGGGCTTTGATGAGAAAACGTGCTGCTTTGTGCGGGCGCATCTATCGGCGGGGATACCCCGCCCCCACCTCCTTCGAAGGACGCCTGCCAGTGACCACTGAGGTCTGGGAGGTGGGGGTGCAACAGACCCACCCTGGGGCAAAAGTACGAAGAGCTCTAGAAAAACTTGCAAAAGGAAGACTGTGCCTTTCCCAACCCGACGGGAATTTTCAGAAACTTGTTGAAGCAGCCTTCAAGGCCTTGCATCCGCCAAACAAAAGAAGGAGGAGTTGTGTATCTAGAAGTTCTGCTCTTCTCTGCTTTGTTCGATGCCACTTGAGCACCGAGAGCCTGGTGGCCGAACTAGCATCAGCAAGCCTCAAGGCCCAGGCCTGGCACTGCCCAGAAAAGCCTAAATGTTTTTTTGTGACACTCCCAAAAGACTTAGGCAGCAAGGTTGAAGTTAATCCTTTTATGAGCCATGAACTTAGGGACAGCTGTACAAATAGTTGCTGTTTTTAATTAAACCCAACATGGCTACTTCCTTAACTTAGAAAAAAGCGACTGGCAATGTTATGCTTTGATAGATTGGAAATCATGGGTGTGTGATCACACTTAAGAAAACAGAAGATATTTGAGAGGAGTGGTATGGAAAACCAGTCCGGAGCAGCATTGTTCCTGCTTGCTTTCTGCAAGGAAAACCATTAGACAGCCCAACAGCCCAGTAAAGCCTGGGTCATGGTGCATGCCCATGACAGACAGGTGGGCCCTGGCAGACCTGAGGATGGAATTTCATTCGTCCTTTCGGAGCCAGACAGCACCCTTGGTGCTGTGGAGATCTGGAGAGGCCTTTGAGTGAAAAGGCCACGCTGGTTAGTCTGTGAGTACAAAAGGATCATCAGAAGAGATATGGAGAGGGATGTGGGGTCCTTTAAGGTTTCTTTAACTCTTAGATAGTATGACCCCATATAATCCTCCCAACTTGCCAGCAAAGGTTCCTTCTCCTTCCCAGTGCTTTCTTCGCCTATGAAAACAAATCTGAATGCCAAGATAAAGAAAACCTTTCTTAAACAAAAACGAGTATGTTCACACTAATTATAACTAAGTAAAAATGCATGTCTGTGCATTGACAGAGAGGAAATTACTTTGGAGGGAAGTAAATAGTTTAATGTTGATTAGATTTTCTTGCCATGAAGTTACTTAAGTTCATAATAAAAAATAGAAAAATTTTTCTTTTTTAAAAACATCCTCAAATGTTGAAATATATTAGGTTTAGCAGAGACTAACCAGCAATAGCAAAAATGAACCCCTAATTTTCACAGAGCATGTCAGATCTCCAGGGCTGCCTCTCTTTCCAGATACACAGGAAATTCAGTTTCACGGGCTAACCCTTCCACTATCAAATGGCTGACTGCAAAACTTTCTTGACAGATGGAATTGCAGCCAACAGCAGAATTGAAATCACTAGACACAGGCTGACCTGAGGCCCCACTCTTCTACATACCACGCTGAGTCAGAGCCATGAGACCAACTGAACCTCAGGGGGTATGACAAAAGGGTGCCAGAAAACCTTGGGGCCTGAGGGATGGCACATGCTGCTTAAATCGCTGCCTGCTTTTTCTAGTATTCTTAGGAAACCCTGGATCATCTGGCAACTGAGTAAAACACTCAGTTTTGTCTGTCTTGGCTATGGGTCGCACTGTCTTTTGCTATGACCCCAAAATGGCTTGTGTTCCAAAGCTAGAGATATGAGAGCCTAACTCAGGAAAAGTTCTCATAGTCTATTTAGATGAGTCAATGGCATAGCAGATCTACCTTTGGTCTAAAATACCTCCATAGTTATGTTTACTGAGCTACCAGACGAAGTAAGAGATGGCCTACTTCTTACCCACTGTACTCACAATTTGAGGCCATTCTGTAAGACACATTCAAAAGGACAAAGTATTAGACATCTGATATGTTTGTTTCATAGCATATATTTCACTGTTTTATAGAAATCATACCCTCATTTCTCAGTAGATGTTCCTTTTCCTCCACACTCTGCCCGTGAAGTCAGATGGGATGAGCCCATCTCACTGCAGAAATTACTGGATCATCTAGCCTAAGTCCCATCACACATCACATCCCCACAGTGAATGGGTATGTGACCCAGCTAGAGCCGATGAGACAGTATCTTTTAAGATGCTTTCAGCTGAATGCACTGTAAAAGAGAAAACAACAGTTACAGAGTACAGGCCAAAACAAAAAGTGTAGGCCAAGAGATGAAATAGCAAAAGATCAAATTCCCTTTAAACCAGAAAACTCAACATAACATAATTTAATTAATAAGAATAATTTATTGTCTCACATCACAAGAAGTCCAAAGGCTCCAGAGCTGGTTAATACAGCAGCTCCTTAGTGTAATCAAAGCCCTTTGTTCCTTCCTTCTTTCTGCCATGCCATTCCCAGCACATCAGCTTAGTCCTTGATCTTTGGGCTAGTTCTCCTATGGCTACTAGTAGCTGCTGGCATCATGTCTAGACAACAACAACTAGAAGAAAAGGCCATCTTTTCCTGTGTATTCCTTCTCAAGAGCAAGGAGACACTTCTCAAAAGCCTTCAGCTGGCTTCCTCTCACATCTCCTTGGCCAGAATTGTGTCACATGTTCTTGCCTAATCAATCACAGTCGAGAGGAAAGAGGCTACCATGAGAGTCTAAGGCGAACTAGAATTCAGTGTAGGAGTTGGGGCTGAGTCTAGCCTCCCTCGAAGCAATTGGTGGAGGGAGGATGAAAACTACTTGATATGAAGCAAGGTTTTGTTACCAAGCATCAGCAATGGCAACAGAGAACAATGAGGATTTTGCAGGGGTTTCCAGGTAAAGAATATATCAGATCTCCAGGACTGCTTCTTTTTCTCAATACACAGCAAGTCCATTTTCATGAGGCTGATCTTTCTACTGTCAAATATCTGACTTCAGTGACCCCTGTGCAAATAAAGCTGAGAAGATACAAGTTCTGGAGCCTCTGCAGCCATCTCATGAGTTTGATGGGGACAGCCCGCCTAGGAATGAGCCAACACTCCTGGAGAGAAGACATTCATGAAACAAAAGCCAACAGATGTATAGAGAGAAACGATGGCCATATAGCAGCCTTTGAGCTCCACATTTAGCAGCACAAGATGACAGCCCCACCTCTGAGCTTCTCAATTATACAAGCCAATGAAGTCTCATTTTGCTTAAGCCACTTTGGATTGGGTTTACTGCCTACTGCAACAGAAGGAGTCACAGCTGAAGCAAATAGCCTGACATATGTTATAGGAAAGATAGCATGTTCATGGAGTGACCCTGTGACCCAGTGCCCCTTAGGCAAAGCACTCCCAGAAGGTGTCTTAATAATCAGTTATTTGGTTTTGGCTTAACCAGCCAACTACTTCTAGTAGTACTTATGCCATTCACCTAAATTTTCTACAATTTCAACAATTGTGGGAAAAGTTCTTTGTGTAACTCTGATGGAAGCATTTTTAAATGAGCACTGGAAACATTCAGCACCCTGTGGGATGGAAAAGAGAAGAGGGTAGAAAGCTCAGTCAAGTGAGAAGCAATTTTCTACCTGTTAATGGGCAAGGTAGAGTGTAGTTAGATAAACGAATATGCTGGAACTTCTATTAATCCAAAGTTTCCTTTCCCGCATGAGCAAAAGACACAAGTTCCTATGTGGAATCGTGGGGAAGCTGGGCACAGTGAGAACCGAAGGGAACTGACAGAAGGTACAGTTCTGTGGAGCTGTCCTCAAAGGACTTGGCAGAGCCCAGATACATTTGAGCCCTGTTTATATTCTTTGGTATTTTTCCTCAAAAAGGATCCAAGAGAATTCCAGAAATGGAGTTGTTAACCTTCAATGTACCCTGGTGAAGTTCATAGGTGAGGTCAGAACAAAACATATCCAAAGAGACCAAAGAGTTATTATTCTTGAATGAAAATTATGATTGAGGAGAAACAGATGCTGAAGAGATACACCAAGATATGAAAATGTACTGTGAAAGAGAAAACAATGGAACTAGGACAAGGTGTAGGCCCAAGAAAGAAAGAGCAAAAAAGATCAAAGTCTTTTTTAAAAATGTACCATTGTAATGTTTGAATATGCCAAGTTATGAAAGCAAATGCACGTGCTGTTCTAACTTTGGCCTAAACATTTTATTTTGGGGGTAAAACAAAGATGCATTACCACCCTGAAGTCTCTGAATTGCCAAAAACAATTGTTTACATAGGATGGTGTGCTTTTAGAACATCATATATGCGCTGCCTTCCCAGACCTTCTGAAGCTGGTGAAGTTTAATGAAGCTAGAGAAGAAAAATAGACAAGAGTGGGTAAAGGGAAAGAAAATAAGTTCAAAATATTGACTCCCACCTGCCAGTCCAGATGTCACCTGATGTACATCTGTGCCTTTGCAATTTGTCAACACAAAATGCAATTCTTTCTGGACATATAAATCATTGTGCTTAGTTCTGTCTTAATAATCAGTCATTTGGTTTCAGCTTAGTAATCAGTTTATTTCCAAGGAGAATTCTTGATATTGGCAGAAAAAAATCAAAAGTGGAATTTTTAAAAGTCAATATAATTTTTTCTAATTATTGTAGCTTTGGTGGATGATTTCAAGTTTAAGAGTGATGGAATGCCATGAATTTTCATGCTGCCTACATTTCATTAAGACAAACTTGCTGGATCTCCCCCTCCATTTTGGATTATAAAATCTAACCCCTGGGGAATATCCTTTCACTTGGAGAGAAAAATTTAAAAACTTCTTGGTTTCCTGAACTATTTTGATTATCTGAGTAGATATGGCTTATAGTATTGAAAAGAGGTGGCAGAAAGAGTAGTAGTGATAAAAATGGAGAAGAGAAAGGTCAGGAGTGTTTCAATGACTTTGCCAACTAAATTCCAGTATCCTTAATGAAAAAAATGTGACTACTTTATCACTTTCCAGGATCATTCTATATTTTCAAGTTTCAGTAGATACCCTTCTACTGTGATGGAAAGAAATACTTGACTTAGGTCTATATATTTAAATTTATTTTTATTTTTTATTTCTATTTATTCATTTATTTTTGAGACAGAGTCTCTCTCTGTCAGGCAGGCTGGAG